ACTCAGGAATTACTCCTGGCGGTGCTTGGGGTACCGTATGGGATGCTGGGAATCGAACCCGGGTTGGCCACATGCAAGGCAAACGCCCTACTCGCTTGTGCTATCGCTCCAGCCCTGCCCTCACTTCTTTATACATGTACAAGCCCTTTTTTTTTTTTAACTTTTTTTTTTATTATTAGTGAAACACCATGAGGTACAGTTGTAGATTTACAATTTTTTGTGCTTGGGTTTGATTATACAATGATCAGATACCCATCCCTCCACCAGTGCCCATTTTCCACCACCATGGATAATATCCCCCCCCCGCCCCCATCCCCCCATCCCCCCCTGCCTCTGTGGCAGGGCAATCCCCAGTGTTCTCTCTCTCCTTTTGGGTGTTGTGGTCTGCAAAAGAGACAAGCCCTTTCTTTAGCTCAATTATTGACAGTATTTTCTATTCCACTATTTCCTACTGAAAGGTGGAAATTCAACATTTTGGAGATGGTGTTTTCCTGCAGCAAATCTGCAGGTGGGCATCTTCCTGTCAAGTTTTCCCTCTGTGGGCCTGGAGCAGTAGCGCAGGAGCAGCGAATGCTTACCTTGCAAGAGTACGGTCACAGGTTTCAACCTCAAGTGCCCCACGTGTGCTGAGCAGGGTGCGGGCAGCGCTGCTTTTGGAGCTGGCAGCTTTGCCGTCTGTGATTGCTGACGCCACAGTGACTCAGAGAGAGAGACAGAGAGACAGAGAGACAGAGACAGAGAGAGACAGAGACAGAGCTGCAGCCAGGAGGCAAACACCACAGCAGATGAATGTGGGTGGGGAGATGGATTCCGGTGTCATATAGGAGCTGCTGAGTTGCAGTGAGACTGGTGTTTGTTTTGATGTTGTCTTTGCTTATTGGTGTGATTTTTTTCTCAAACGAGGCACTTTTTTGTTTTGTTTGGGGTCACCCCCTGTGGTGCTCAGGGCTTATTCGTCGTGGGGGCTTAGGGGGACCATATGTGGTGCCAGGATCAAACCAAGGTCTGCGACATGCAAGAGCCTTTCTTCCTGCACTATGTCTCCAGCCCCCAAAACAAGGCAATTTTTAGAGCCTCCAACATACTCATGTTGATTGTGATCTCTAAAAGTGGTTTGACCATAACACCCAAAAGGACAGAGAGAGTAAGAGGGGCTGTGCCTGCCAAAGAGGCAAGGGGTGGGAAGGAATACTGGGATACTGAGGGTGGGGGGAGAAATACTGGGAACATTAGTGGTGGAGAATGGGCACTTGAACATTGTTTGACTGGAAAGCAATCATGAAAGTTTGTAAGTCTAACTATCTCATGGTGATTAAAAAGGCCCTCCCCGTTGTTCATCGATTTGCTCGAGCGGGCCCAGTAACGTCTCCATTGGAGACTTTGTTGTTGCTGTGTTTGTCATATCGAATACGTCACGGGGAGCTTGCCAGGCTTTGGGGTGCGGGCGAGATACTCTCGGTAGCTTGCCAGGATCTCAGAGAGGGGCGGAGGAATCGAACTCGGGTCGGCCATGTTGGCTGCGTGCAAGGCAAACGCCCTACCGCTGTGCTATCGCTCCTTCTCATGGTGATTAATTAAAATAAAAATTAAAAAAATAGTTAACAACTCAAACGTGCATCAACTCAATAAAGTATTTTAAATGATGAAAAAAAAAAGTGGTTTGAAGTGCCCCCAAACTGCTTAACTCTTATGCATTTTTTCCCCTTGAAAGTATCAGTGTAGGGGAGAAGGGAGATAGCTCAAAGGTACCCACAAGACCCTGGGCTCCACTTCTGGCACTATGATCCCCCCAGGCATTGCCGGCTGTAGCCCTGTGGGACCGCAACATGGTAGGGTGGCCTCAAGAAAGCCCTGGGGGGCTGGAGAGAGAGTATAGTGGGGAAGGTGCTTGCCTCACAAATGTCCAACCTGGTTCGATTCCTGGAACCTTGTAGGGTCCCCTGAGTGTCACCAGGAGTGATCCATGAGCGCAGAGCCAGGAGTAAGTCCTGAGCACCATCAGGCAGAGCCCTCAAAAGTTAAAAAAGTAAACGTTGAAAGAATGGGTTCTACAGAAACATTTTGGGGATTGCTGCTTGCGTCGTGGAGACATTTGTAGTTCTCAGCCAGGGACGGATCCTTCTCCCTGAGGGCCCTCCTTGAACCTGGATGTTACTTGTGGTACAGGAACCATGGATTTGCAGTCTCAGAACAGAGCTGTAGCCTGCTCTGACTCATCCACTCTTCCAAGCACCTGCTTTGTGCCACCCTGACTGCATCCGCTGCTTGGTATAGGGGTACCCTTTCCCAGCTTTGTTGATATTGCACCCCAGCCTTATACATCTTGAGTACATGCTTCTGTCCGACAATGTTTATAAATTCTGCAAGTGTATGATTGCACCATTAGTATATCTTAAAATATGTAAAATCTTGGGGCTGGAGCAATAGTACAGCAGGTAGGGCGTTTGCCTTGCATGCGGCCAATGAGGGTTCTCTCACACATGCAAGGCAAGAGCTCTTGTTTTTGTTTTTGTTTTGGGTACACCCAGCAGTACTAAAGGCTTACTCCTAGTTCTGTATTCCGGAATCACTCATGGTGGGCTCAGGAGACCATATGGAACACACAGGATTGAACCTGGGTTGATCATATGCAAGACAAACACCCTACCCACTGTACACATACAGCTGCCAAGCTGTATCTTTGGCCCTTCCTTCCTTCCTTCCTTCCTTCCTTCCTTCCTTCCTTCCTTCCTTCCTTCCTCCCTTCCTCCCTCCCTGCCTTCCTCCCTCCCTCCCTCCTTCCTTTCCTTCCTTTTCTTCCTTCTACATTGTGAACTTGGATACTTTCTATAATAAATAACTTAAGAATCACTAAAAACATTGTGATGAAAATAAAATTAAATTAAAAAAACATTGTGATATCTGATGTTACACTGAATGCTGGTGTGTTGGGGTTCATGGTGGAAGCTGAGTTTTTGCAACATTGGGCTTTGTTATAGTGTTCCTGCTGTTAGGTATATTTGAAAATTTCCATTAAAGTAAAGAGGAAAAAGAATAATTTCGTATGGGGCCAGGGAGCTGGTTCCATGTTCTCTAGCACATGTTTCGCATGTGGGAAACCTGGGTTCAATCCCTAGCACTGTGTACCACCAAGTACCACCAAGTCACCCTGAGCAGTGAGCCAGGAGCAGTCCCTGCGTATCGCCAGCTGTGGTCCAAAGCCCAAAATAACTCCAAAAAGTACAGTGCAAAAAATGGTCATAGGAATATACTACACAGCAGTGATTGTCTTGGGAGGGAGAAAGTTGGGAATAGAATGTCAGGTGCAGCTACTCAGCCCAGTTCCCACATTCTCTGGAGCGTGTATTGCTTCAGCAGGGGGGACCTTCACTCCAGGTTTCCTGGGGTTTTCTCTGAAGAGGTAGGGAAGAGACTGGCCTGACTACCAACTTGTTTTTCTGGGAATCCATAAAATGAGTGTGCAAGCAAAGAGCTGTTACATGTGGAGATCTTGAGGCTTGTTTTGTAATCTAACTTGTCATTTAATAAATGGTGAAATTGTGTCCTGGAAGCGAGCTGGGCACTCGGATCCTGAATACCAAGACCGCGAAAGAGGCTCATGACCAGGAGAACTGCATGGAGAGTCTGTCTGCTGTGGCTGCTATGCTCACAGGAAAATGATACCCCACTAACAAGTCTTTGGAAAAGTCCCTGAAGCTCCATGTGCCTCATCTGGGAAACACATTGGGATCAGAGTGGACAAGGCAGGATGTACTGGACATACCTTGGAGGCGGTTTGCACCCTAGTGCGCCTCTCCTTTTGGGAAGTGATACTCACTTCCGTGCAGTGTTCCCTGTTGCTGAATGTCTCCTCAGAAAGTGGGGACTGGTCTTTGGCTGATCCCATCACCCCTGCCACAGCAAGCAGTGGGTGTTAACCTGGATGGCCGTGAAGGGCAGAAGAGACCCTCACTTCCCTCACATCACCGTGGTCACTCTCGGGCTGGAATCTCAGGGTTGACCTGTGAGCCTGCACGGAGCACTGCCAGACAGAGTTCAGGGAGAGCCTTCATGTCAGGGGCCTATGGAGCAGTAGAGTCGGCCATCTCAGAATTGAACCCTCAGAGATGCACACACACACACACACACACACACACACACACACACACACGCACAGGCAGACATGCTTATGCTCACATGCACACGAATGCATATGTAGGCATACATGACCACATACACACACACACACACACACACACACACACACACACACACACCACCAAGAGACCAACAAGATAAGATTCTGGTGTAAAAGTTTCAGGAGATGGATTAAAGGAGAAGGTGGTTGCTGTGTTGTTTGACTAAGAGTCCTACAAGGTGGCTGGAGCAATAGTGCAGAGGACAGGGCACTTGATTTGCACATAGCTGATATGGGTTCCATCCCCAGTGTCCCATCTGGTCCCCTGAGACCCACTAGAGTGAGGCCTGAGAGCAGAGCCAGGAGTAAGAGCATCTGGTGTGGGCCAAAACCAGAACAAAACCCAAACAAGCCAAACAAAACAAAATAAAAGAAAATGGGAAGAAGGAATATAAACTAGGCTGGAATTATGGAAGTGGAGGAACTTAGCAGAGAAATTCATGAAGAGAAGGTCACACATTGCCATTCGTGGTGGCCCCGCACCACCACTCTCTCTGGAATGAAGGACTCATTCCCTTGGGCACCCTGGGGCCCGTGGTCTTGGATTCTGGCTACAGGATCTTAGTCCTGGCTCTGGTTACAGAAGCAGATGTTTCCTGCTTAGGGAGAAAGGAGTGTCATCCTCTATTTTTAAAGTTAACTAAACTTAAAACAACTAGATAGGATTTATACTTTATTAGCGATCTTTTAATTTTACTAAATTTATGCTAGCATGCAGAAATAACTTATTGTACTCATTAAATGTTTCTTTTTAGAAGCTTGAAAAAAAAAGATTTCATTAAATCCCTTACCCTGACTTTGTAGTTCCTAAATTAGAAGGACTGTGCTCGCTTCGGCAGCACATATAGCAAAACTGTACGATACTGAGAAGATTAGCAGGGCCCCTGAGCAAGGATGATATGCAAATTCGTGAAATATTCCATATTTTGGACCCAAGAAGAAGATCAATAAGGAAGGTCCCTCACGCCTCTGCCCAGGGCCTGGCGGCCTCAATATAGTTCCCTTTTGATTGACTGGGGCAGAAAAAAAATTAGAAGGACTATTTTATGGGTATGTTGTACTGTCATTGTAAACAATACAAATAAGATTCAGTGTACTCCATGTTCCACTCAGAATTTCAGGGTATAAGGTAGAAAACGGGAGGGTATAAGGTAGAAAACGGGAGGGGTATTCAGAGAGTCATTGATGATGCAATGAACAAAGGTTCTAATTTCCCAGGAATTCTTTCAGATCCTGAGAATTGCAAATGTATTTTCTAAAAGAATAATATTTGAGCACAGTTTTAAAGGAACTGGTAGGCATATTAACTACTTCCAAGATAATCTTCCTTGACAACTATTTTAAAGGATTTTCATTCCTCCACCCCCTCTTGTTGATTACTTTTAAATTTTATGTTACACGGAGCACGAAAAAGCTCTCCTGTGACTTAATCTTATTTTCTACAAAATAAAAAGGGAACATCTCTTTCAGTTACTGCAGGAAGAATGATTAGAATTTCTCTTTGTGATCATTTTCCTGCACAGGGCTTTCACTGACTCACTACGATCATATATAACTTCGTATCTCTCTTGCTTGAAGGTATGTCACAAAAATAATTTTAATGAATGTGACATGTAATAAACAAGTAAAAGCTGAAGGCATAAGACTAATACATGTGCAAGCCCAAGGACCAGATGGTTTCACAGCTGAGTTTTTCTCCAATTAAAAAAAAAATCACAATATTATCTAAACTATTCCAGAGCATAGATGAAAGCTGTAGAACATCAAAACGTGGAAAACAAAGCACACCCCCCAAACAGGTGGGGGTCAGTTTCACTTATGAAAAACCATGAAAAATGAGAATTCATCAAGATAGCCCAGCAAGGTTATATAAACACATTGTGCCAAGGAGTGTTTATAATAAGAATGCAAGTGTAAGTATCAAATAATACATTGATATCATTTATTTATGAATAAACTCAAGAAGAAAAGTCATATTTTACCCATGAATTTTCCTAAATTTCTGCACCGATTACTAATAACAATAGAAGAAAACCAATCAGATACAATAGAGCATTTTTGCCAATACTAAATATGTATATGTAAATATACATATATATTTTATAATGGACATAGTATCAAAATTTTTGATTGATATCAAAACAAAACAGTGGTTCCCCCTACCAGCATTATTGATGAACATTGTCTGGGAACTTCTAACCAGCCCAGTAAGTTGGACAAATAAAATAGTATTCATTGCCTTTGGTGATAACACACTTACCATTGTTGTGTTACAATGAGATTTTAGTAAAAAAGTTAAAAAGACTAAGACAATTTGATGAAGCATGTTGAGAAGAATAAGGCTGGAAGCAAAGTAAAATTACTTCAGTATGAGACCAGTAAGAGAAAATGAAAAATCATTTTTTTGCAAAGCACATGTGATATAATATTTTGCAAAATGCTCACAACGGTGAGTGCGTGTGTTAGGGATTAGAACCATAGATTGTTTCTGGCTCCGCTTCTTGTTGGTAGCACGGACATGGGACCAGAACGTCAATGTGGGCAAGGGGAGCAGGGAGAGGTGGCTGAGCCTCTCACGTGCCTGATTCTGGTCATGCGGAATGAGAAGGCCTCTTAGAGTCTACACGCTCACGTCTACGCTGGTAGAAACAGCAAACTCACAAAGCCCTGAGTGTAAATGATCGCATCTGGGTGCGTGAGGGGGTTCGTAAGAGGCCATTTCTGTTCTTGTCCTTGCTCCCTGGGCAGGGGTAGGACAGAGAATCTCTGTCTTTTATGCACCTGGTGTTGATGCTTTCATGCTTTTGTAAAATGTCTTCAAAATGAGAAATCTGGGGCTGGAGAGAGAGCACCGTGGGTAGGGCGCTGGCATCGTATGTGGTAGATTCAGGTTCATCCCTGGGTCCTCCAAATCTGAGTGCTGAGCCAGGAGTCAGCTCCGGGTGTCGGTGTCGCTGGGTGTGGCACCCTACTGTGAGAGAGCAAGAGCAAGAGTGAGAGAGGCAAGTTGGGGTGGGGGGAGACAGAGGGAGAGAAGGGGAGATAAAGGCCAGAAGCCTGGGACTAGTGAACCAGCTTGAGGGTTTGGCCTGGGCCTCGCATGGTCGCAGCCCGGGTTCATCCCTGACGCCCACATGCGCCAGACACCATCCGCCACCAGGCTCTGCCCTCCTCCGTATTGCTGGTTCTGAGCAGCACTGCACTGCGTCAGCTCATCTAGCTAAGTGAGTGACTCCCTGGGAGCCTGAGCACAGCTGGGGAGGAGCGCCTCCCCCCCGCCCCCAACCAAGAAATAAACAAAAAAGAGAAGCCAAGATCTATAGCAGCCACCAACCCCAACCAAATGCTCCTGGCTGCAGGAACTACCGTCTGGTCTTTGCTCGGATATCTGAGAGGCCTCTGGCCTCATGCCTTCCTGGGGAGATAGGGAGCAGGGCGGTGTCCAGGCCGGCATATGCCCAGGGGAGCACCTCTGTTGGAGGGGACTGGCCTCAGGTGTGGACCTCCCTCCCCACTGAGGGGAAGACCTGGGGTTCAATGTCTTTGCCACAACTTTCTCCTGAGATTTGCCCCCAATGAGGAGAAATCTCAGGGCTCAGCCCTCCAGCCTCTGAAGAGTTAAATGCAGGGACAAAGGGAATGGGGTGGCGGGTGTCCAGAGAACCCTGGGGAGGCTGTCCCTGCCTGCTGGAGGGATGTGCTGATGTGCAGATGTGGGCAGCACCCGGCCCCCAGGGCCCAGACTCAGCTCCGCTGGCATCTCCCGACCAAGTCAGTCAAAATCTCTGGGGATGGGGTCTAGACACATTCTGTGTCAATTTCCAGGGTACTGCAGAGGACTGGACTGTCCAGCACGGGGGATCTGATGCCCCCAGGTGAGGTGGGGGGAGAAGGGGTTCCTGACTGGAGGCCTGGGAGGGCAGGACAGTTATTTCAGACTTTCCTGAAGCATCAGGAAGGAGCTCGAAGGACGTCAGACAGGAAAATGACGTCATCTTGTGACAGTGGACCGGGAGGGGAGGGCACCGATGGACCGGTCAGCTGAACTGTGAATGTCTTTATTTTCTTTTGAATGTTAATTTTTAAAAATTATTTCATTATTTACTTATTTAGGTTTGGGGATCACATCTGGGGTCAGGGACAACTCCTGGTTCTGTGCTTAGGGACGGCTCCTGGCTTTGTGCTTAGGGACGGCTCCTGGCTCTGTGCTCAGGGACGGCTCCTGGCTCTGTGCTCAGGGACGACTCCTGGCTCTGTGCCCAGGATCAGCATGCAAGGCAAGTACCTTTCCCATGATACTATATTTCTGGCCCCTAACTGGTCCCACAACAAAGGTAATGCATCCTTTGTGCAAGGCAAGCACCCTACCTGCTGTACTGCTGCTCCGGCACTCTAAACTCTTAATGGCTTAAGCACGTGGGTTTTGTTTGCAAATTCTTTACATAATGCTCAAGAAACCCCAGTGCCTATTTTGTTACTTTATGTTCCCCAGATGAATGCAGTCTTTCTATGTCTGTCCCTCTCTTTCTGATTCATTTCACTTAGCATGATGCTTTCCATGTAGTACCACTTGTACGTAAATTTCATGACTTCATCTTTTCGAACAGCTGCATAGAACTCGATATTGTGTAGATGTACCAAAGTTTCTTTAACCAGTCATCTGTCCTCAGGGATTGGGGGAGGGGGTGGTGGGAGGGATACTGGGAGCATTGGTGGTGGAGAATGGGCACTGGTGGAAGGATGGGTACTCGATCATTGTATAACTGAAACTCAAGCACGAAAATTTGTAAGTCTCCAACTGTACCTCATGGTGCTTCGCTAATAAAAATTTAAAAAAGTAAAGAAAAGAAACCCCAGAACAGGATTCAATCAGCTCTGTGCTAGCTGTCGATTTCACAGTCACTCTGGTTCCCATGCTGAGACCAGCCCACGGCAGCCGCCGCCGTGGGCAGAGCAGCAACGGGGAGAACAGGCTGGTGCGTCTTGGGCTGGGAATCTGTGGGACTTGGCAGTCGCCCGCTGTGAGGGCCCACGGGCAAGGAGACAGTCTGGACACCCCACGTCTGGCCTCTTTGAGTGACAGAGTGGGCAGCTTGAGGAGGAGTGGGCTGAGGCCGACATGGACCTTCTGAGAGTATAGAAGGTAAAGGGAAATGGTGGGATGGGACCACAGGGAGTGTGTGGTTGCCCCAACGTGCAGTTATAAGGCGGGGAAGTCTATATGGGGCAGGAGAGTGAGCCGAGAAGGAGGCCTGCACGCTGGGTGTGCAGGATGCCGGCCTAGAGAGGCTGAATAGGGCCAGGAGCAGAGAGATGGAGAAGCAGGAGGAGAACCAGCAACAACAGCTTCCCACCCACCCCAGGGGGCACCCTGGTTGGGGAATAACTGGCAAAAGGAACTGAACCCCAACTGGGATGGGGGTGAGCTGGTGAGAGGAGGAGGTGCAGAGAGGAAGCAGAGAAGTAAAGGAAGAGATGGAAGAAGTAAGACGTGTTGGGGACATTCATCATGGACAGATTACTAGAGGTCCTGGAAATTGGGGGCAAGTTTCTAGAAGAGTGGGAGATGTGGTCAGCAGGTGGATGCTAACTTGGGGTTCACTTTCCTTTGCTTCTATCTTAACGCAACCCCTAGCCCACTCTGCAACAGCACTCCAAGCTTCCACATTTGCACCTACGTGCATCAAGGTGTGCGTGGAGGAGACTGCTTTGTGGACAGCCTTTGCCAAGAGTATGTCCTTTTTAACCCGGAACCTTCTCTCTGACTGCAGAGTCATGACAGCTGTTTCCTTCCTAGGGTTCATTCTCTTGCAGGACGGCTTCTGCCTGGGAGGCAGGTTGCCAGGACTCTTCCCGTGAGCTCCTCAGTGCAGGCTCTGGAGAGAGCTGTGCATAATCAGTGCTTGGCAGCGCTTGCGTGTGCAGTGAACAGATGTGGCTGCATGTTCAGTTTCCCTACTTGACCCTCAGCTAAGCAGCACTTCAGAGAATCTGATGTCCATGGGCGCATGCTCCTGAATGGAACTCACCAGAGCCACGAGGCGTCTCAGATGTCCTGACTGCCGTTAGCCACGGTGGCTTACAGAGCTCTGGGCCCCAGATGTTTTGACAGGCGGTGCCACTTCAACTTTTCCTAGTAAAAACGAGCTAATTTCTCATTAGACTCCAAACAAAAGGATGTGAATATTGAAAGTGCATCCCACCGCAGGAAAAAATGTTGGGCTTAACTCTTCCCTTTGGTTATTTTTCCATATTGCAGAAGTCACATTCACAGCAAAAGTGAGAGCATGAATTCAACATTTCTATTCCTGTGTACACCTATGTTGACATGACATTTCATCTGTGTGTGGGAGCCACAGTTGATAGTGCCTTTAGTTCTTGGGGGGTAGCTCCTGGCAGTGCTCAGGAGACCCTCTGATATTGGGGAATAAATGTAGGGCCCCTACATACTAACTATGTTTCCAGCTCTCTGAACTGTCTCCTTGCCTCACAACTGCACTGGCCAGAGTGACTCAAGAGCTGGGGACACTCACAGGGCAGGAGCACATGTCTTGCTTGTGAGGCCCCAGGTTCAACTCCCAATGCCCTGGTGACCTCAGTGCACATTTCCAGGTTCCAGCAACATTGCATTGAACTTTTTTTTTTCTTTTTGCTTTTTGGGTCACACCTTGGCGATGCTCAGGGGTTACTCCTGGCTCATGCACTCAGGAATTACTCCTGGGAATTGAACCCGGGTCGGCCACGTGCAAGGCGAACGCCCTACCCGTTGTCCTATCGCTCCAGCCCCTACATTCAACTTTCATGCCTGCACAACTGGGCCATGAAAGTGCTCCCCTGAGCCTTCTGAGTACTGCCGGCAAGTCCAGCCCTCCCCCTGCAGGCTCCTCCCCCTGTCCGAAAGGGCTATAGGAATGAACGCCTGAGCAACTGGACCCAGGACAGTCCTGTTGGCATCTAGATCTCTGGAAGATTCTTCTCTCCTCCAAGAGTCCTTATGGCCTCATGTTTTTGGTAGCAGTTTTATTGTTCTTCTTTCGGTCTGCCCAGCTATGGTTGTGTCTGCAATTGTGCCTGTTAGTTTTGCTGGTGTCATGACTGCCTCTGTTTTTGTCTTTGTGCTAATGCAAAAACTGTTTGGTACTTCTTGAAATGTATGTAGATGCCTCCCTGTCTCCTCCTGCAGTCAGCTCTGCTCTTGGCACTGCTTGGATTCGTCAGTTTCATGCCTGTTTCAGTCTTTTCTGAGAACTGACCACAGTGCCTTTGTGCCTTGCACTGTGGGACATGGGCATTGTTACTGATTGTCATTTTGAAGTGCATAGGAATATTCTTTATGTGCCTCCTGCTACACATGTATACTCTGACTCTGGTATGTACAGCAGATGATGTCTTCATGCTGTTGTTCTTCAATTAGCAATTTAATTAGTAAGATGAGTAACTTCCCCAAAACTTAGTAGTTTTAAATTTTTTTTTAAAGTTGTTTTTTTTTTTTTTACTTCACCAGGTGATGCTCAAGGATTACTCTTGGCTCTGCACTCAGGAATCATTCCTGGCATGGTTCTGGGGACCCTTGTAAGGCAAGCACCCTACCAGCTGTCTACCAGCTGTGCTATCTCTCCAGCCCATAACATTAGTAGTTTTAGGAGAATTTTACCTCTATTTGTTTGTCTTTGTGATATAATTGTATGATTGGTTTGATGGCAACAGTTCATTGAATTAAAATTTTGTCTGAAAGGTTATGTACTTTTTAAAATTTTATTATTATTATAATAATTATTATTATTATTTTTTTGCTTTTTGGGTCACACCTGGAGATGCTCAGGGGTTACTCCTGGCTTTGCACGCAGGAATCACTCCTGGCAGTGCTCAGGGGACCACATGGGATGCTGGCAATCGAACCAGGGTCGGCTGCGTGCAAGGCAAACGCCCTACCCTCTGTGCTATCACTCCAGCCCCAAGGTTATGTACTTTTAGAGAGTAATTGGAGCTTCACTTCATGAAAGCTCTAGTTAAATAATAGAAGAGAATCTTTCCATCATCATTAAAAAGATGATCAAAATAAACTAGCAAGGAACCATGGGAAATTTGATTTCATCGTAAAAGACATTTAAAAGGAGAACAACAGATCTAAAATGGCTCTTATATTTATACTTATTTGCATATATTACCATCTAATCGGAGATAGAATTGGGAGTATTCCAGTTACACCAATATTTGCATATAGTTACATAATACAGTTTTTAAAAGCTCAGTTTGTTGAGTGACATGAACTTTCCCTTTAAACTTTATTGAAATTCCATGCACTGTGGTTTCCAGGCCAGGCCACCCTTCAGACTGGGTGTGAAGCCACTGATTCCCGGTGCCAGCTTCTCGTCCCAGCTCATCTGGCTCGAGGCTGGGATCTGGAGTTCACCTCACAGTTCACGAAGGTCTTCTCCTGGGTCGGGTGCAGCTGCAGGTCTTCTTTGTTCTGCGAGCAGAATGTCATCCTGCACAGAGAGACAAAACAAATCGCTGGAGCGTCCTGGTGTGTTTCAGCCCCGTTCAACACTCCCCGGCACAATCACACTGAGCGTGCTTGTATTCTGTTTTTCACATTAGACCACAATGACCACAAATATTCTCCTAACTTTAGAGAAAAACTAACCCTGAGTTGGTGAAAGCAATTCCTGCAACTTCCCGGGGCTCCTGCCTGGCTGGGTTCAGTGGGTCAGAGCTAAGAGTCAGCGGGGACCTCGACGTTGGTTCTCTCAGCCCAGACAGAGCTTAAAAAGGGCCTTTTCAGCTTCACCTGCCCCTTCTACGCCTCCTCTGATGCTCCGAAGGGGCCTGGGCACCGAGCTCTGCTTACAGTCAGGCCTGAAGTCGCCCCTTACCTAGCCCTGTCCTGGGCTCTCTCCCCAGCAGCAGGGGCCTCTCTGGATCTGCTGGGTCTCTCCTGGAGATCCAGTTTGGCCTGGGAGGCTGTTTTGTGTTACTAACTTGGATTTCACCTGTTAGAAGAAAACTAGCTGCAGTCAGAGAGATCTAGTCTGGGCTTGCTTTGTTATTTGGGCTGTATTTAAGGTTGAGAATTCAAAACAACATCAGCTTGTTCCCGATCATTATTGGTTTACAGTATGTTGTTGTATGTTGTTGGGGGCATAGTGTGTGTGTGTATATGTGTGTGTGTGTGTGTGTGTGTGAGAGAGAGAGAGAGAGAGAGAGAGAGAGAGAGAGAGAGAGAATCAGAGACTTGGGTTCAGGACCTCTGTGTGTGTGTGTGTGTGTGTGTGTGTGTGAGAGAGAGAGAGAGAGAGAGAGAGGTGTTTTCTTCACTGACCATTTCCCCACCCGTTCTCCAGCCTGCCTGACCAAAGGTCACCTGGATCCTTCCAGGTCGCTGTTTGCATTTCTCTGGCCAGGCTAGAATGTTTTGTTTAGCTGCTCCCTGTCCCAGGGCCCTGACAGAGCCGGTATTTCTCTCTGGGTCCTACCTGACTCTTATCCTGGCTCTGTGCCTTTGGGTGGCAGCGGGAATCTCATTAAACCCCTCCTGAGGAGGTACCAAGCAAGTGATTTAACCAGTGTCTTTCTCCTTGTGGTGAGCAGAGTAAGAGGATGAAATTCAGAGTTTGTCTGGCCATGGGGTTCCTAAACCCAGCAGGAGTGCTCAGTCTCTGCAGTACCTGTCGGGACTCCCATCTACATGAGAGCCACAGAGAGCAAAAGGGTGTCTGACCCCCTCGTCACCACCACTGTGCTCTGACAGAGTCCAGTAGCTCCCTGTGGGAAAGAATTCAGGTTCTCTGCAGATTCTCCCCCAGAGCAGAGGGACTCGTCTCTCTGCCCCTGCCATCCTCTGCTGAGAAGCCACCCCTGTCTTGGGTTAGTCCCCAGCAGAGAGGAAGCCTTGGAGGGGGCCATGCCACACCCAGGGCTGTGTAGGTGAGAGGTGGAAATGTGGAAACTTGGGCCCGAGGCTGCCTGGTGTTTGCTGCCACTCTCCTGGGCTCGCATGGGGCCTCCCCACAATCCACAGTGCCGACAGCGGAGCTCATGATTTCTTCTCTGGCTTTCTGGTCCGGGCACCAGCAGGGGTGGCAGCACCCAGGAGCTTGTTGGAAGGGCAGCAGCCCCTGCATTAGCCGTCTCGCCTTTCGGCACGGTTCCTCGATGATTGGTGAGCACATTAAGGGCTGAGAACGTCGGGATGGAGCACATCATTAGCAGAATTAATGCATCTGCTTTCCTTAATTGGGTCCTGGAGTTTCTTTGTGCTGAAAGGCACAATTCAGATTTTTTTTTTTCGCCTTCGGGCAGTGACTCCCAGTGGCCCCCAGAACTTTGATGATACGTAGGAGGGACTGGCAGTGAAAGTGATCAGGGAGCTTCTCAGTCACGGGATCCCCATTGAATCAGTGGCATCCCCGATTTCGTTGCCACTCCCAGCGCTGCAGCTCTGCACAATCTGGCTCAGGAAAAGCAAACCAAGGGGCCAAGTCGCAGGAAGGAAGTGACTTGGAGCAGGGTCCCGGACAGCCCACGGGCCTGAACCAGAGAAGACCGAGTCATCTTCTGCTGGGACAACGTTCAGCCACATCCCGAGCCCTGTCCCCTTAGTGACCTGTGGCTGAGTCTGCAGAGCTGGTCCCACCCAGTTGGACAGACGTGACCCCCCCCCCCCCCCCCCGCCCAGAGCAGTGTGTGTGTCCACAGGAGCTCAATCCCTCCTTTCTCACTCCTCTCCTTCCGGCCATGAAGATATGACCCACTGGAGCATCGGTGGGGGTATTTGGGACACTGGCAGGGCAAGAGACAGCAGACAGACACCTTGACACAGAACCCACTTGAGCTCAGCAAACAAGACAGAGTTGACTCCCCAAAGAGCTGTTCTTCGAAGTTACAGAGTCACGCAAGGGGCCAGAGCCCGAGTCTGGTGGGAGGGCGCTTGCCTTGTATGCAACCAACTTGGGTTGAATCCTTGGCGTCTCATATGATCCCCCAGTTCTGCCAGGAGTGATCCCTGAGTATAGAGCGAGGAGTAAGCCCTGAGCACAGCCAGGTGTGAGCCCAAAGGAGAAAAAAAAAAGTCATGCAAGAACCTCTGAGCATCTAAAAGGAGAGAAGCGCTTTAATTGGCTCACTGACCCTGTGGAGAGACCCTGCCAGGCTGTCATCTGGAAGGAATCTGGGGTCCAAAATCTGCCTTGGGATGGCTGCAAGCCCTGGGGTATGGGAGGAGAAGGTGATGGGGAGCAGCTTTCAGGCTTTCCTCTCTGCTGGGGACAAATCCAAGACGGAGGTGGCTTCTCAGCAGAGGATGGCAGGGTCAGAGAGATAAGCCCCTCTGCTCTGGGGAGAATCTGCAGAGAACCTGAACTCTTAGGGGGAGCTGCCAGACTCTGTCAGAGCACAGTGGTGTTGACAGGGGGTCAGACACCCTCTTGCTCTCCGAGGGGCTGTTGGGTCTGCAGGACCTTGTTCCCTGCAATCCTTGCTCATCCACGGGATCTCGAGGCCATGAGAGATGTTAGTGATGCAAAGCAGCCTGTCTTAGGATGATTGAATTGGGCCACCTCAGCATCTGAAGGCTCTTTCTGGTTTCATGGACCATCAATGAATCAGGGGTTCTCTGGAGGGGGAAATACATCTGCATCCATAAGAAGTTTCCCAGCTGTTCTCTTCACACTTATCTTGAAAGGCATCCCAGAGGGAGGTTTTGCAATTGGGATTCCTTAGAAGCATGTTTCTGGGTAAACCGTGGAAAAAAGGAAAGGTACCCACAGGTACTGGCCACAGCCCATGGCCCAGCAGCCTGGACAGTGCCTGTTGATCTGGCCTCCTGCAGAGTTTGAGAAGCCCTGGGCTGGCAGCTCGGGTCTTCATGTCCCGCATAGTGGGAAGGGACATGCTGGGATTGGGAAGTGTTGGAAGCCAATCCTTGTCCTTCTTGTGGACACCACATAATATCTCACCTTCCTGAACATCTATGTGCCTGTCACTAGGACATCAGGCCAGCCTGAGTGTGAAATTGGGCACGGGCTGTCTTTAAGGGGCTAGGTGCCCCACTAAACACAAGGAAGAGCTGGAAGTGGCACTCACCTTTTCTGGGTCTCTCCTGCCTTGATCCTGATGTTTGTTAGGATGAGGCCTGAGTACAGGGGCCCTTTGCCCCAGGGGAAAATGGTCTGGACTGTGTTCCACACGTTGGCCCACACGGCACTGTTTTCCCACTTGAACTTGATCATGATGATCTCACCGATGTCCGAGTCCAGTGTGATGAGAAGGGAATAGGTTTTATTACTGATGACGCCCTCACCCCTGGAACACACGCAGGAAACAGCTGATTGTTCATTTGTCACAACAAAGTATACTTGGACCCCTCCAGGTTCACGCAAATGGACCTTTGGCTCCATTTCCCAAACTGCTTCTGGTCAGACTCTTCACAGAGGCAGCAATAAGGTTGGAGCAATAGTACAGTAGGGACTGCTCTTGCCTTGATGCCGCCAACCCAGTTTCCATTCCTGCTACCACACAAGGGTCCCCAAAATTCCACTAGAAGTGATTCCTGAGCAATGGCCTAGGAGTAAGCTCTGATCGTCGCTGAATATGGCTGCATTTCCCCCCCCCCCCCCCCCCGCCAAAATAAACCAATCAGATATAAATAGATGTACCTGGATTTAAAAAGTTCTTCATACTAGAAATCATGGGAAAAACACATTACAATTCACGTTAGCTAGGGAAAGTGTTTATTTGGGGGCGGCATACTTGTGGGGCTCAGGGGTTCATGTGCATAGAACCATTGAATTTTCTCTCTGAGAGTTTTGCAATAATGAGGCTGCTAATGTTGCCTAATGTAGGCTTGGTAGTTTCTGAGTAATCAGGGGGAAAAAAAAACAAACAGAAGAGGCAGGGACCGTTGGCTGAGGCTTTGGGATGGCTGGGTTGGGGTCAGAGTAACATGTGAGTCACTCCACATCTCCCCTCTCAGCAGTGCTCCTCCCCTCCCCAGAGAAAGAGAAACGCCTGTTTCAATGGCAAAGTACAACTCTCAGAGAAAAATCCACTAATGCGAAGATGCAGCTTAGAGCAACATTTACACGCAAGTTTAGGTGAGAGAAATGAGCTACGTGTCTCGCTGGTCCTGGAGATGGAAGGACCCTGCGCTGGCTGGCAGCTAGATGCGCGTCTGGGTATTTGTGCCAGTCAGCGGGAGATGTGGGCAGTGCAGAGGAGCCTGCATTTGTGGGCTACAATGGTGGAGAGGCTCCTCAGCTCAGCTCCTCACAGCTCTCCTTGCAGTAGGTTCTAAAGAAACCCCCTCCCCCACATCCCAGGCAAGTGAGAATCCCAGGACAGGACCCCCTTGTGAAGCACAGAGCCCTAACAAGTACTAGCGGGATCACGGAACAAACTAGTGTGAGGATCAGTCTGGACAGCCTCAGAAAAGCTAAGGAGTACGGGGGTGGGGTGTGTATGTGTGAGGTGGGGGAGATGGGCTGACCCATGCTGAAGGCCTAGACGAAAGCGTCCAATCATGAAAAAAGGCCTTCAGGGACAGCTTGTGGCACGTGTTCAGCCCACGGTACCCCTTCCTGCTCAGACAACTGCTTTGGCTTCTGCACATTCCAGCAATACTGAGTCCATCACAGCCCGGGGTGGGTATCGGGGGTGTCCACATAAAGCCAAGGCTGTTTAGATGACCTGGTGGTGGGGCGTGGCGGGGGGGGGGGAATTGGGGGCGGGGTCTGGAGGCTAGCCCAGGTGATGGAACTTGGGACGGTGAGAATATGGGAGTAAGTGGTGTCTGGTCTTACCCGGGAAAACTTGGAGTGTACTGTACCCTTTGGGAAAGGCCCTCGGTCAGGCTGCACCACACCCATACTCACAGAGTGATAGGGATTTTATGTACTTCATCTTTCATTCCGAAGAGGGACATGGAAAAAGTCGGCTCCACGGGCTTCTCAATTTGGTTGATGAACTGCATCTTGAACTGGTAATGATAAACTAGGGGTGGGAAGAGGAAAAGAGAAATTAGATTTAAATTATTATTGATTTTTTTATTTTTGTGGGGAGGTGCACACCTGGTTGTGCTCAGGGTTCACTCCTGGCTCTGTGCTCAGGGATCACTTGTGGTGGGCTTGGTGGGCTCATATGTGGTGCCAGGGATTGAACCTGAGTGGGTTGTGTACAAGGCAAGCAACTTACCCACTGCACTGTCATTCTGGCCCCAATACAGTCTTATTTAATATCAGTAAATGCCTCTTCTTCAGCAGGGGCACTTAAGCACTGCTGTTGTTCCATTTGACTCTTTGCAACAGGTAAGTATTGTTATCACCATCTCTACTCTATGGCTAAGAAAACAGGAGAGGTGAAGAGACAGGCTCCCAACTTCCAGATCAGAGACTTATTGCTGAGATTCTTAAAGATGGCCATAGTCACAGCAGTTAGACATGGGTTGCTCATTTCAAAGTGACCCCCAACTCACTCCCAAATTGCTGTTGGCTGACTGGATTGAATTGATGTTCTTCTCTTCCTGTCCTCATAGTCTTTTTTTTTTTTTAATAGAAAATAGAAAAGTTTACTGGAAAATAGAAGAGAAAGGAAAAGGAACTTTTCCTGTGGGGAGGAACAGTATAGAACCAAGTTCTGTTCTCATATTTTTAAACCATTTGTAACTGTTTGGCTGCTACAAGATTACAAACAGGTTTAATATGTCATGTCAAACTCAAATGATTGACGGTGACAGTGCAGAACCTACGTGAGTGGGCTTCTAGGATTGAGCACAGGCTCTTGGGAAATCAGTGTTTTCCTTGAACAAATAATAGGCTATTAATAGTGTGATTGATGCTAATTTGTTTTTTTTTCCCCTGGAGAATGATGAATCCACTAATCCTGATAGTGTCTTGTAAATAGTAGGTATTTAATAAACTTGTGTGGATTGAATGTATGGTGACTGTTTTCTTAGAAGTATCAGGATATTTATCAGCACGATGGAAATCCTTTTGGAGAATTCAAAACTGACTTTCAAGTTTTGCTAATCTAGTGGAACTAACCACTGGGTCATCTTGCCCAGGCACAAAGCATGGAAAATTGTCATTCTCTGGAATCAATCTACCAAGTCTCAGCCATGCCGACTTCCTTTGGGAGTTGGCAGCTCCTCAAGGACCAGGCATAGCTGCTCTGAGTGGTATGTTGCCCACATTACAGCAGCAGTGTCTTAGGCATCTTTTGGGTCATTATCCAATACTACCTTTGGGTATAAATCAATCTTCCCTTTGGATTTTAGCCAACATGTTCATGTACTTGGGGTTGATATGACTTGGGTTTTCTGAAGCACCAAGTGCTGCTTTGCACTTATTTGTGTTCATAACAGGAACCAAGCACTAAGTTGACTTGTAGGCCATTAGCTTTAGACTCAAGGCTGAGAAAATGGGAGAGGTGAAGCGACAAGCTTAAACTTCTGAATCAGAGACTTACTGCTGAGATTCTTAAAGATGACCATGGTCACAGCAGCCATATGTGGGTTGCTTTCAAAATGACTGAAGGAAAGTGCTAGCAGGGGTCACCTAGGCCACCCAGGATAGTGTCTGGTACTGAAAGACTCACTGCTCATATTCTCAAGTCTGGAATAAGGAGGTGCTCTCAAGACTAGGAAGTAGAAGGTGAGAAATAAGAGAAGCCTGTGTACTCCAGTCCTGGGAAGGATTGCTAAAACCTTGAGTGGTTGTGGGGGAGAAAGGATGATATGTCATTCCTTTCCACCCAGAAGCAAGTGGAGAGGCCTTACAGTCGGTGCACAGGCCAAAGCTTTTCAACACTTCTACCCACGATCAAGAACTTCACAAACTTGGAATGCTGGAGTGTGAGAAGAGACTTAAGTTAAAAAGATGTTAAAATTAAAAATAAAACCAGAAACACGCTAAATAGTTGCTACCAGTAGAATGACTGCAGATCCCGAATGACAATGATGAGTACTGTTTAGCTTGGTACTGTGTCCGGACACTGAGCTAAGGGTTTGCCAGAATGATCTCATTTCTCTTTGCAACACCCTTGCACCTTGCACGAGGCCTTCTTTCCCTTCTTCTGATCATCCTACTGCTGAAGTGGAGAGCAAAGCAAGTCGCTCACTTCCCTGCAGCTGAGCTGGCTGGGGCTGCCACTGTTTCCATATTAATTGTTGCAGCCATGTGATTCATTCTTGTGAAGGCATTGAAAGATGTTTTGGAATGATTTAAATGCCTGTGTGATGGTTTTTTTAAATTGATAAAAACAAAAACCCAAATCTCAAACAAAAACCAGGATACAAATTGGATATGTAATATGCAACTACTTATAAAATGGGGACATTTATGGAGAGGATTCATAAAACATTTAACAGAGATAACAATGCTTATCTCTGGAGAAGGGACATTTTTATTCTCCTCTGTATGCTTTTCTGCCGGTTCCACATTTTCTACAATAAACATGTACTCTAATTAGAACTGAGAACTTTTTTTTGGTAGTGCTGGGCTGGACCCAGGGCCTTATGCATGCAGGGGAGGGCTCTGTCCCCGAGCCACACCCCAGCCTATCATTAGACTCCAGTTGGAAAAAGCTTTTAATAGCACTGAAAGAGAAAGCAAGAGACCTCTGACCCTAGCCTTGGAGGGACTTCCATCTGGGAATGAGTGTTTCTCTCCCAGACCGTGGATATGTACTTCTCATCTCCCGGAGGGCAGCCTTGGGTCATGCTAATACTTGTATCACCCCACCTCCTGAGCAGGCTTCAAAGGAGAGTCTCAGGGGTTCCCTGTGTGAAAACAGGGCAGGATACAGGCTGCCTGATGAAGACCCTAATTGTGAGCAGGAGTAATGATGTGGAGGTTCTAGTTTGTACGGGCCTCTGTGCTAAGTTTGTTCACTCACTGTACTTCTGGTCCCCATAATAAGACTCAGTGAGGATCGAAAGCTGATTGAAGCCCAGACTCTTTCTTTCTTTCTTTCTTTCTTTCTTTCTTTCTTTCTTTCTTTCTTTCTTTCTTCTTTTTTGCTCTTTTGTGTTACACATAACACTGCTCAAGGCTTACTCCTGGCAGTGCTTGGGGGAACCCTATGGGTTCTGAGGACCCAGTTTGGGTCAGCTACCCGTGATGTATTCAATATGCCAAACACAGTAACAACAAGTCTCAAAATGGAGATGTTACTGGGCCCCTCTTGAGCAAATCGATGAACAGCGGGAGGATGGTGTGAGTGGCAAGTGCTCTACCCACTGTATCATCACTCTGGCCCCTGAACTCCATTTTCTGTACATTCCATTTTCTACACCCACTCTGCCATGTCCTGAACCTCAGAATGTGAGCCTGGGATCCCCTTCTCTCAGACTTCCTTGCCATGTGGGCTGTAGGTGGGATGAGCATGGTGGGTGAGTGTGAGGCCAGCAGCAGGGGTCAGAATGGCAGGGGCAGGAGCAGCCCCTGGAGAGAACATCTTCTCTGAGGCTGACCTGAGTTAACTGGCTCAACGCTGTCTCCCGCTGAGCCCGACCTGAGGCATCAGATGTAATGAGCAGACAGCACAGTGCAGCCCTGCAGGGCTTATTCTCCAGGCCTGCCTGGTTCCTAGGGTGCCCACCCAGCCTACAAGCCCACTCAGACCTTTGGAGGAATAACCCTGGGTGGGCAGAGAGATGGGATAGAGGCTAAGGCACCCACCTGACATGCATCTGACCCAGGTTTGATCCCCTGAGCACTGTTGGGTTTAGCCCCCAAACCCAATAAAGGGAAAAAGCAGCAGAAATGCAGGAACTCCGCCTCTGAAAGAGAAGCTGCCTGGAACAAAGCCACCATGACATGTGCCCATGGCTGCCTGCCCTCCCTGACCCCCACCCACCCTTCATGCCCTGGCCCTCATGTCCAGCCCCTCTGTGTGGACATGCGAGTCTTGAACTTGCACTGAAGTGGCATTTTGTCTTCTGGTGTTGAGCACCCAGACATGCTGTGCTCCCGTGATTCAGACACTGTGCTCCCCAAACCCAGGCAGGGCTGAGAGGTGGCAGAGGCCCCTGGGTCATCCACAGACTCCAAGGAGAATTCCAGGCCCCACAGGGATCTCTGGGGATGGGCTCTTGGTGGGACACCAGAAACCCCTAAACTGACTTAATCACGAGGAACCCCAGGGAGCTCCCCCAAAGCAGGTGCTATACAGGGTGTGAAGATCAGTGAACCCCATCTGAAGAAGCAGGACTCAGCAGTACAGTACTCCCTGCAGGAGGAAAGACTCTTTGGAGCACAGTCTAGAAATGACTGTAGGGTTCGATTTCCAGCATCCCATATGGTCCCCCGAGCACTGCCAGGAGTAATTCCTGAGTGCAGAGCCAGGAGTAACCCCTGTGCATCCTGGGTGTGACCAAAAAAGGAAAACAAAACAAAACAAAACAACCTTCAAATAGAAAAGACTGTAAAAAAGATGTGAGGGAACGTTTCCTATTGAGAACTAGAGATTTAAACAAATACATTATTTTGAGTTTTTGTGTTTTTCTTTGAAAAACAAAAGACAATTTGCCGGCTCCCCCTCATCCCCATCCTTCTTGCTTCCTCCTCACCAGGACAATGGTACGATACAAAGGGGAAATTGTGATGAATTTTGCACACTTTGCCTTCTGTCAGGTTTAATAAGGATTAAAACAAATTATTTGGTGAAAATACTTTTCATTCTGTGAATGCTGAAAGGCCAACACAAGGCAATCTTCAGTGCAGGAGGAGAACAAAAAAATCTCAGGTTTTATAGATGAAAAGCATGAAACAGCCCATCAACACTGAAGGAGAGTGGCAAGCCCAGGGAGCAGGCCAGCAGCCCCCCGACAGCCTCTCACCAGAGTCCACTCCGGCCCAGGGGCCCTAACACTCTGGAGTCTAATCCCGTGTGGATCCCACTGTGCCCCTAGAAGAAAAACACTTGAGCTTCTTTTCACAAGGCAGCCCTCGTGAGCATCAGGTTGGGGAAATTTATGAAAAGAGAAATTGTTCTCTTTTTCCAACTCATGGGAAAATACAAGGACACAAATCATTAGCTATTGGCTCTGCAAGTCCTATTGTTACTCTCTTGGCCAACATCAAAGAGGCCTTTCTGCCTGCAGGGTTTTCTGTGCAGCTGAGAGGAAAGAACTTCCTGGGATGTCTTGCAACACCACGGGCTTCTTCCCTCACAGGAAATGCCTCTGACGGAGAAGGAGGCTGAGGACCACAGGAACCAGGGCCCGAGGCCAGTCTTGGCGCCTGTCTGACCCACCCGTTGGGCTCAGTGGGTTCCCCCATTTGTGGGAGGCTGCGGCCACACAGACTGGATGTTTGCCTCCCCTGTTGGTAGGGCAGGTGGGTGTTGGTGGTGTGTGTAAAGATGTGAAGATCAAGGAGTATTGTGTTGTGTGTGTGAGGACCTTGTGTGAGAATGTGAGGGGAAGGAAATGTGTGTGCATGAGTGTTTATGAGTTGAGGGGTAAGGAGAGGCGTGTGAATGTGTGAGAAGTGTATGAGTGGGTGAGGGGTAAGGAAATGTGTAAGAGAAGGAAAGGTGTGTGTAGAGTATGTGTCTAAGAAGGCTGTGTATGAGGACTGTGTGTGTATAGACTGTATGTGTGAGGACTGTGTGTGAGGACTGTGTGTGTAGACTGTGTGCGTAAGGACTGTGTGTGTAGACTGTGTGCGTAAGGACTGTGTGTGTAGACTGTGTGAGGGCTGTGTGTGTGAAGATTATGTATGTAGACTGTGTGTGCAAAGACTGTGTGTGTGAGAACTGTGTGTGTAGACACTGTGTGTGAAGAATGTGTGTGTGTGAGGACTGTGTGTGAGGACTGTGTGTGTGTAGACTGTGTGTGTGTAGACTGTGTGTGACGGCTGTGTGTGTGAGGGCTGTGTATGAAGGCTGTGTGTGTAAGGACTGTGTGTGTGTAGACTGTGTGTAAAGGCTGTATATGAAGGCTGTGTGTGTGTGAGGGCTGTGTGTGTGTAGACTGTGTGCATAAGGACTGTGTGTGAGGGCTGTGTGTGTGTGAAGACTGTGTGTGAGGGCTGTGTGTGAGGGCTATGTGTGTGAGGACTGTGTCTGTGTGAAGACTGTGTGCGTAAGGACTGTGTGTGAGGGCTGTGTGTGTGAGGGCTGTGTGTGTAGGGCTGTGTGTGTGTACAGACTGTGTGTACGAGGGCTGTGTGTATGAGGGCTGTGTGTGTGTAGACTGCGTGTGAGGACTGTGTGTGTGTGTGTTGTGCGTGTGTGAAGACTGTGTGTGTGGTGTAGTGTTGTGCTGTTGGCACCAGCTGCTTTAGGGAAGCAATAAAGCCTTCCACTGAGACAGGTCATTCTGTGCCACCTGCCACCACACGTCCTGCACACAGAGAACTTCTCTGAAGCATTATCAGGCACTAAACACTTCCCAGGGCTGCCATGAGATGGGAGATGCCATAGTGCCTGGCTTTCAGAAGGTGCCAGCCTGGTCTCGGCCCTGGGTTGCCTGTTTCAGTGGCTCACCCCACCTTGCCTCACACAGTGCCACTGTGGTTGCAGATGTCTGGCCCACAAACGAATGATGTGGTTAATGACCCAGATGTGGTTAACAGCCAAGCCAAACTCTGGTCTCTCCTGACCAAATCCTTCCGCTCTCTCAACCATACCTACTCCTTTTGTAACTCTCTGGAAATCCCTGAAAATCTTTCAAAGAAGGAACTAGAAAGAGCAGAGGATGGACAGACTCCCCAGCCTCTGGTTGGCCAGTTGAGAGGGCGAGCAATGGAGGAGCTGTGGGGTTGGGTGAGGCTGAAGGTACAGAGAGAAGGGCAGATGGGGAGGGTGGCAAGAGGACTCATCAGAGGGAGCTTGGGGAACACCAACTCTGTGAAGTGACCTGGGGTCCACACGTAGAAGCAGGCAGACTCCATGTGGAGGCAGAGGAGCTGGAGACGGCAGAGGGCTTGGACACGCTCCCGTTTACCAGCTGTGACTGTGGAGCTAACCCAAGTCTGGACTGGGAGACAGAGCCTAATCAATCACCCCAGACCCTCCCTCCCTCCATCTGTTGCTGTGAGTCTTACATGATAAATGAAATCATTTGTGTGACACATCCAATCCAGTTGGGTGCCTGGCCAGAGGGATGCCCCCGATGCCTTCCAAGGAGCTACTTTCCACCCCCTGATGGTGCTTCCCTCACCCCCTAGAGTAGATAAGGGGCTCACTGAGTCCAACTCACTGATTTTAGATTCCTATCCCTTACCCTCCCCCTCCCCCCTCCCCAAAGAGGAAAACGATGGGTTCCTATACAGGAAAGGTACCCCCAAGAAAGAAAGTGAAGGTGCCGACTTCGATGCGATGGGTGATAATCGCATCACTTCTCTCAGCACAGCTTTCCAGTCCTCTGCTGCGGCTCTTCTCTCTCCTCTCCCTGGGCCCACCCTAGGAAATAGCTGTGTGGATGGTTCTGTGGAAATATGTGGAGAGCCACAGAGATGAGGGCCTGGTTAGTGGAGCTCTGAGGGGCTAGAGCAGGAGCCCTGCTGGTCTGTCCTAGTCAGATCTTGCCCTCAAGTACCTGCTACAATGGGAGGGTCCTGAAAACACATGGGCTGTGGTTCTCTGGAGCCAGGATCGGGCAAGTTTATTTATGTAAGGATTTTTGTAAGGATGTCTAAGTCCACCAAATGCCAGAGGTGGTCAGTGAAAAGGTCTTTGAGGGGCCCTGGTGTGGATATCTGTGACTATGTCATGTGGAGAAAGTTCTGCTCATGTTGGCCTGGGTTAGAGGCTTCCCGGAAGCAACGCCAGAACCTGACAGCCAGAGAGCCTGGCACCTAGAGGGAGCTGGTGTGATAGAGGAATCAAATTCTTATTTGGATTTAGCTCGGATAACCCTGGGTGGTGGGGTATAGCTTGTGGCCACCATCTTGGACAGAAGGCAGCTTCCCTGTTTGTCTCAGGACACCGTTTCCAACCATTTTCTGCATAGATTCATGCTGCTACTTTTCATCAGCTCCTGGGACAGGCCTGGTGGGAGTAGGTGGGCCTGGGGCCGAGGAAAGTACAGGCAGGAGCCTGCCCAGTGCCAGGACCCCTGTCTGGACTGGAGTGTGAGAGCTGACATAGCTGGTGGTCTACCTCTCTCCCCGGCACCCCAGGTCCCATTCAGGACCTGTCTGACAGGCACTCGGTGCCTGTGTCTGATATCGTGGCCCACTTTCCAACCTCCTGGTCAACCCAGAGAGTCCCCAGTGCTGGATTTCATCTCGAAAGGGGGAAACTCGGCAACTGAGCTTTGTCCTGGAGGGCTTCATATGATGGTGAGATCCAGTGAGATCTGTTAATTTTCCTCTTAGGGGTAAGTGGGAAGCCAGATGTCCAGTTTTCTGTTGTGGTAGTATGTTTGGTGGGACCAGAAGCAGAAAGGAAAATCCTGGATTCTAGTTATAGTTTAGAGACCCCATGCAGGGAATGAGGCCCGGAACCCCCAGCATTCATGGGGCGCATTTCTGTTGGTTTGTTTTATTTTTTGGGCCACACCTGGTGGAACTCAGGGCTTCCTCCTGGCTCTGTGTCTAGGGGTCACTGATGACAGGATCTGGGGGACAAGATGGGGTGCTGAGAATCAAACCTGGGTCCTTACCCACTGCCCTATCTCTCCAGTCTTTCACTGGGTGTCTTTGTGATCAAGCATTCTGGGGGATGGCGTGAACAGATAGGAGAGACCCACCCAAAGATGTTACAGAGGTGTCCTGGTTTCTCTGTTCAGCAACCGGAGCAAGGGGATGGTGTTGTTTGGAAGGAGGGGCACTTTCACGCTCTGGAATCTGCTCCTGCAGAAGCACTCATAGAGCGGAGCCCAAGGCAGCTGTTGAGTTTTTTTTTTTTTCATCTATGAGGTCCAGATCACACTTGACTGTGATCAGGGCTTACTCCTAGCTCTGCTATTAGGGATTACTCCAGGGACCTTATGTGGTGCCAACGATTAAACCAGACTTGGCTGTTTGTAAGGTAAATGCCTTAATCCCTGTACTATTTCTCTGGACCTTTTTTGCTTTTAAAATTTGTTTTTTTAATTATTATTATTCATTTTATTATTATTTTGTGTGGGGGGGAGCATACCTAGCTGTGCTCAGAGCTAACTACTGGCTTTGTACTTAGGGCCCAGACCTAGCAGGCTCAGGAGAGCCAGGGATCAAACCAAGTTTGACCATATGCAAGGCAAGTGCCTTACCCATTGTACTATCTCTCTAGCCCCTTGGTGTGTGTGTTTTTAAGTGCAGCGGTGCTCAAAGCTAACTCCTGACTCTGTGCTTAGAGACCACTCCTGGCAGGGCTTGGGGGACCCTATACGATGCCTGAAATCAAACAGGGGTTAGATAGTCAAGATAAGACCTCTTTTTTTTTTTCTTTTTGGGTCACACCCGGCAATGCACAGGGGTTACTCCTGGCTCTGCACTCAGGAGTTATGCCTGGCGGTGCTCAGGGGACCATATGGGATGCTGGGACTCAAACCCAGGTCAGTCGCGTGCAAGGCAAACGCCCTACCTGCTGTGCTATCTCTCCAGTTCCAAGATAAGACCTCTTAACTCCATACTATTTCTCTAGTCTCTTCTCTTTACTTCTAACCTTTCATTGCAGTTACTTGAAGATGAATATGAAAAAAGAGAGTAAAATTGATTTGTTCTGTTTTTGTTTTTGTGCCTCCCAAGTGGTGCTCAGGGGTTCCCGGTCATTCTCGACGAGCCAAGCTGCAGTTCCAAGCCAGGGCTAGAGCACGTGGAGCAGCTCAGGTGCAGGGCTGACCCCGTGACCTCCGTGGTGCTCAGGGTTCCAGGGCACGCTCAGCAGTATCAGGGACTTCCAGAGCTGTGCTCAGCAGCACGTGGTCTCATGGGTTGAACCTGCACCCACCACGAGCAGGGCTGGTACTTGGGCGTCTGTGCCACCTCTCCCTGTGCCTGCACCCTGCCACACTCACTCACCTTTGAAGGGGGACTGGGCCCGGGTCACCAGGAAGAGCATCTTGCTCTTCTTACTGTGCGACTCCTGCCGGGTGTGGTAGCCCAGAGTGTTGCACTGGCCCTTCCTGCAGTTCAGGCACAGGCCCTGGCTGAAGCTGTCCATGTCACTGCACAGATAGGCCTTGCTTGGTGTATCGCGGTAGAGCAAGGAGTCGATGAAGAGCTGCACGGAACGCTCGTGAGCACACTTGATGGTCTGGGCCAGAGCTGGAACACAGGCCAACGCACATTAGCTCCCTTCCTCCAAGGCCACCCACCCCGAGGTTGCCAAGTTCTCAGCCTGGTGGGCAGCACTGCCAAGGGAGGAGGTGGGGCAGCCCGCAGGGACACCCAAGAGAGGAAGGTGGGCAGCCCACGAGGCCACCCACAGCAGCACACATGACCGCTGAGTCGTGGGCATCCCGGACTGCTTAGAGCACCCGCTGCATGGGTGAGGCCGTAGTTGCGACAGGACCCCCAGCAGACTCAGGAAGCAATGAGGAACTCAAGACTATGGGGCTGGGGAGAGAGGACAGCCTGGATAGCAGCCAACCTGGATTCCATTCCTGATACCCCACATGGTCCGCTGAGTCCCTCCAGGAGTGATCCCTGAGCACAGAGCCAGGGTGTAGACCCCAAATTCCCCAATAAAACAAGCGAAAAACTGCTTTCATGACATAGCGAGGACGGTGGCTGGAGGGCCCCTGTTTGGGGCCTTTCTGCAGGCTCTTCCTCACCAGTCCCTGCACCTGTTTGTTGAGTGACCCTTGAATGGCAGTGGACCTTCACAGTTACATAATCTCTGTGAAAGAGGAAGCCTCGGTTTACCCTTGCTAGATGCTGTGAACTGGAGAGATAGCACAGTGGTACGGCGTTTGCTTTGCGCGCGAGCCGGGTTCAATTCCTCTGCCCCTCTTGGAGAGCCTGGCAAGCTACCAAGAGTATCTCACCCGCATGGCAAAGCCTGGCAAGCTCCCCGTGACGTGTTCAATATGCCAAACACAGTAACAATTCTCACAATGGAGACGTGACTGGGCCCACTCATGCAAATCAATGAACAATGGGAGGTCAGTGCTACAGATGCTGTGAGCAGTCCCCTCATTGGCTAGCCCATTCTACATTTTTGTCTCTTTGCAAATTCCTGGGCTTTTCTGATAAACAGGGAGTTAACAATTATCCATAAAATTCTTCCTCAGAGCTTAGGCTCATGGAAGATTAAGATAATACCAGAGGCAGATGGCCAGAGAGACTCAAACCAGCCCGGCCACCCTGTAGATTCCCTGCATTCTCTGTAGGACCTGACAATTGATAAGAAATGCAAAGGGCCTTTAAGAAGGCCAGCACAAAACTCTTTTAACTTAGTCCTATACTAAGTTCCTCCCAATGTGGGGAGTTTCCTTTTTTCTCTCTTTTACTTTTCAATAAACTTTTCTACTTTCCTAACTCTGAGTATGAGCATATTTATTATTCAATATTTTCATTCTTGAAAATACTGGAGAACCTGGGAATCGCGGATGAACAGAGGCCCACCGCCACCACTTCTATCTCATCTGCATCATTGGGACAATCCGATGCCCAGTGAGGCCGGCCGCTGTATCTGTGTCCCCCCAGTCCTGATGCATCTGTAGTGGGCCTGCACAGGGCTTGCCCAAGAACCCATCAAAAGCGTCCCACTGGAAGGTTTATCTACTGTGGGCTTTGACTTCTGCTTTTGCAGTCTCCAAACGGTAGCCCAGCCCTTCTGGCGCGTGACTCTCCAGGAGTGCTTGAGCGGCTGCCTGTGGTGAAGCAAGACTTGGGCCGGAATTCCCCACAGTGTGAAGGCTCAACCAATTGAGACTCACTTCTCAGCTTTTCGTCACATGTGAGTTTGCCTGCCACGGTGTGGGGACAGTTCAGAGCATCCCCATTCACTGCCAGAACCCCTTTGGTTGGTACTTTGGTTTGGGTTCACGCCCAGTTGCGTTCAGGCTCTGTGCTTTAGGAATCATTCCTGATGGGGTTAAGGGACCCCACGCTTGCCTGGGAGGGGATGGAACCCAGAGGGACAGTGTGCAGGGTGGGTGCCCTACCCTCTGTGCTAGCCTTCCTCCTCTCCCACGATGACTCCCGGAGGTAGCTATAGAGTGAGGAAACAGCCTCCAAGACCTTTGCTCCCTCACTGGGGACGAGGGGAGGAGGGTTTTGGTGTTATCAGGTTATCCCACAGGGCGTTTCTGGGAGGGGTCTGACCAACGGCCCCATAGAGGCTGACCAGCTGAACAGATATCCTTGGCCTCACACTTTGAAGGTTAGTGCAGAAAATCTGCGTCCATATCTAGTCAGAGATGTGTGTGCCAAACACCTCCTCCACCCTTGTGTGTTGCTTGGTAGGGTGTGGGCATGTGCAGGACCAGGGACTGATGATGCAGGTGAAAATTGAGGGGACCTCAGAGGAGAGACTGGGAGCGGTCCCAGGCAGCCTCCTCAGGCCTGGGTGTATGTGTGGGGCTGGCAAGGCTGAGGAGAGTGCAGGTCATTTGAATGAGAGAGTGGAGCGGCATGCTGGTCTCAAAGCTCTGCTTTGCCAGACTGGAACGAGGAGGTGATGGGGCTGGGGTCCAGGTGGGCTAACAGAGGTCTAGCAGCTTTTATTCAGGTCGTGCTTCTGGAGCGATGGGGCCTTAGACCTGCAGAATGTATGACTAGGACTGATTATTCTGTGTTTGTTTATGGGCCATACCTGCAAGTGCTCAGTGCTTACTCCTAGATCTATGCTCAAGGATCACTCCTGGCCGACTCAAGGGATCCTGTGGGGTGGCTGAGATTAAATCCAGGTTGGCCATGTGCAAAGCAAGTGCCACTGCACTATCTCTCCAGACTCAGGCTTCTGTTTTTGTCCTGAACCCAGTGCATGCTGTCGGTGTGCATGGGGATATTTTGGCTTCAGAAAAGAGGGAAGTGTAGGTCACACCCCAGACTCTGCCTTGCAAAGTCTTTCAGACCAAAGAAGAGGGCATCACAGGGTATCTGTGCGGCTGAACTTCACAGGGCAGAGCCTCAGCCCCATCCTACAGATTCAGAGGGTTCTAGCTCACTTGGGTGGAGGCTTATTTGTACTTAGGGTGAGGCTCAGAGTCATTAAGCCAGGCTCTGGGAAGAATGTCTTCCTAGGCCCAGATTAAAGCAACACCCTCCTTGCCCTGGAAGCTGCTGGAAGCACCAGGACCCAACTTTCTAAAGAGTCCACCCAAGAAAGGACTGACTTGGGGACATTGGGTGGGTTAAGAACTGGGGAGCAGGGGCCAGAGCCACAACACAGCAGGAAGGTTGCTTGCCTTGCACATGGCTGACCAGGGTTCCATTCCCGGCATCCCATAGAGTCCTCTGAGCTCCACCAGGAATAATTCCTGAGCGAAGAGCTGTGAGCATTGCCAAATGTGTCCCCCAAACCAAAAAAAGCCAACAAACAAACAAAAAGAAGTGGGGGAACCTTGGTGCTCCCTTCAGCTCAGCCTCGGAGCCTGAGTTCCCAGGAATTCCCATCACGGGGGTGTGGTGGAGAGCAACAGCCCTTCCTCTCTCCCACAGGCCATCTCCCTAGGTGGGCGCACCCTGGCCCGTTGTCCATGCCAGCATGAGAAGCTCAGTCCGAGGGCTCACCGTTCAAGCCGTGGTTGGCAATGTGCTTGTAGAGCTCAAGAAAATGGCACCCTGGCTGGAAGGAGCCCCCGTTGGGGTAGTAGTCATAGTGGCCTACGGGCTGTTTGATCCCCACGCTCAGGCCCATGTGCTCCCTCGTGAAGGTGTGGATGGCATCCACAAATTTGGCATCATCTGGCGAAAGGCGGTCACTGGGAGACGTGCCTTCAAACATAGGGCCGGCAGGGTCCAGGCCTGTGAGGAGAGAGGGGACAGAATAGAAGCAGGCAAAGGCTGGAGGTAGTGAAGATGTGTTATAGATGTAATATATATATATATATATATATATATACACATATACATATATTTATTTATTGTTGAGTACCATACTCAGTAATGTTCAGGGCTTTCTCCTGGCTCTGAGCTCAGGGATCATTTCTGGCAGGCTCAGGGAACCATGGGGATGTCAGGAACCAAACTCATGTCCAATCATGCAAGACATAGGCCCTATCTGCTGTACTATTTCTCTGAAGAGTTTTGTTTTATTTTTGGGCCACCCAAAGATGCTTAGGATTTACTCCTGGCTCTGCACTCAGGAATCACTGCTTGCGGTGAGCCATGTGGGATGCCAGGGATCAGATTGGGTCAGGCATGTGCAAGGCATGTGCCCTACCAGCTGCACTATTGCTCTGCTCCCTTCTCCAAAGTTGTTTAATGTTATCACGCACTCATGAGTTAGAGGGAAGGAAAAAAATCCTGGACGTCATCTTTCTCTAGAAAAATTTTGCCATAACCTTTTCTCAGCAAAACCAAAGTCATTTATAGTGCTGGAAATGATTAGGCATTATCTCTGAGGCTGCAGGAGCCATGCAGCTAGAGAAATACGGTTAGGAGGGGGCGCTTGATTTATTTAAGCAAATCAATTTTAAGTGCCCTTCCAGCTCCTTCCGAGAGTGTCTGCATACCCAGACCAACAGCGCTGCCTGCCAGGGACTCACCTACTCACCAGAGCACGTGTCCATCTGGCTGACAGTGTCCACAGTGTCCACCCACAGCCGGCCTTTCTGCCACACACATGTCATGTCACTAGCATGTGCAGAACAGCCTCTGGATGTTGCTGTCCCAGGGTGAAACACTGCCTGCAAACGGGGCTCCTCTAAGCCCCAGGGATCTCAGGGATCTCAGGGATCATTCCTGGTGGGACTTTGGGGCACCCTGGGCAGGGCAAGGCATAGAACCCAGGTTTGTCACGTGCACACCAAGTGCCCTCGCTCTAAGTCGTCTTTCCCGCTCTAAAGTGTTCTTACTTGATCAGAGTAAAGGACACAATGATGTTCTTCTTTAATTTTCTTTGAATTGCTTTAGCCCCTGATATGGTGCTTTAGCTTGCTGGGTAGTTGATTGGTTGGTTTGTGTTTGGATTTTTCACTTTTTCCAGTGAAATCCAGGGATTGAACCTGCAGCTTCACACACGCAAGGTGGCAGCTGTGCTGATCAGGCATATTCCTGGTCCTGGACTCTAGGTCTGGAAGGACTAGGAGGTTTTGGATGCTGCTGGAGGCCTGGCTGAGTGACCCTGGCTCTTCCCTAGGAAGGTGGGGAGCCTCAGGGATCCTCCACTGAAAGGCTCTGCCGGGCCCCTCACTCTGCCCCTGAGGCTTGACTGGGGAACCATCTGGTCACTGTGTCTTCAAAGGTTCCTCGAAGGAGTGAGGGGGGCTGAAGCTCAGGACCACTTCCAAGCATCACACTGCCCCCACGTCCCCAACCACAGGAGTCCCAAGGAGGAGCCAAGGGCCTGCGGCAGATATGGTAGGAATTGCTGGGTTTTCTAACTTCTCTTTAGAATCTCTTTAGAATCTTGGTTTGGGCCAGCCAAAGGGATAGTATAAAGGGCGGGGCTGACTTGGGTTCCGTCCCCGGTAGTTACCACATCCAGTCCCCTAAACCCCACCAGTAGTGATCCCTGCATGCAGAGCCAGGATGAAGTCCTGGGCATTGCTGGATGTGCCTCCAAACGAAAACCAAACAAAAACCAACACAAAACCATAGGTTTCAAAACATATTTTCGGCTGATAGCACAGTGGGTAGAGCGCTTGCCTTGCATGTGGCCGATCTGGTTTCAATCCTCAGCATCCCATGTAGTCCCTGAGCATGACCAGGAATAATTTCCGAGTGCAGAGCCAGGAGTAACCCCGAGCATTGCCTGGTGTGGTCCCCAAATAAAACAAATAACCAACATAGAGGAACAATGGAAACACCCTGTTGCTTGAGCGCAGAGTGAGGGAGGCCTAGCTGCTTGCTTCAGGAAAGGCCATCACAGAGGCTGGTGTGTGCTGCCTTTTCTCCTCACGGCAGTGCCATGTCTGAGATGGAGCTGGGTCCCCGCATGTCCCACGGAGCCCCAAGGAAGCAGGGCGGAGCCTGGGGTGGGGGAGGGCAGTGTCCACGGGAGGTGCCCGCGGCTGGTGGTTACCTGTGATTCTCCCAATCTTGTGTTTGCTGCCCAGGTAACTGCCAGCGAACCCTGAGACGTGAGCGCCCAGGCTGTACCCGACCAGATGCACCTTGTTCGGGGAGAACTGAAGCGTGTCCTGGAAGACAGTGGGGCTGGTCGTGGGGGAGGGCCGGGAGACCTTTGGGAGGCAGCTTGTCGGGGCACCCCCCTCCCTAGAACTGTTCTTGGTGCCTGATTTCAAATGAGGGGCCTGTTCCCTACTCCCGCTCAACCTCCCCCTGCCAGGTCCTCTCCCTCCCTCCGGAGACTAAGCTCCCTCGACTTAAGCCTGCTACCTCTCACCCCATCTTCTGCTTCTGTCTTCACCTAGACATCAGGGCCTGAGCAGGGGTCCCCTTCATGGAGGCAGGGAGCGGGAGGGTTTCTAGGGTCTGTCTGGATCTAAGGGGTGAGCAACGGGGCAGGAGGAGGAGAGGGTGACTCTGCACTACAGGGTTCAAGAAAACATGCGAGGGGGCCCGGGGTTCCTGTGCGCCCCTCCCCCTCCCCCCCCTTAGCAGACCTGGGTCCCCTGTCGGGAATGCTTTGGAGACCAGCTTAGTTCATTTTTCCTGTTTGTTTTGGGGCTACACCCAGAGGTGCTGAGGGCACCTTAGGTGCTGAGGGTGGGGGTAAACCTGGGCCTCTTCTGTGCAAACCCGTGCGCCAGTGACTGCGTAGGAGCCCAGCGTGGGAGGGCCGAGGGGTGAACCCAGCCTCCCCACGCCCTGCACCCTCTCCCGGGTGCTGGCAGTTCAGTCGTTTCTGTTGGTTTGATTGTTTTTTGGGCTACCCCAAGCGGATTGAACCGCGCTCAGCGCCCAGGACGGCCGGGACGCTCACCTCGAGCCAGCGCACCAGGGCGGCCACCTCCTGGCCCACGAGGCGCGTGTTGCGCACGGCCAGGGCGTAGTGGTTGTGGGCCAGGCTGATCCAGTCTGCCAGCGCCACGTTCACGGGCTGGGCAGGTCCCGTCTTGAGCGCGGCCACCATCTGCCAGATCCAGCTCTCCAGGAAGCCGTCCACCTGCGGGCGGGCGGGCGCGGCGGTCAGCGGGCAGGGAGGGGCGGGCAGCGCCGGCGAGCTGCTCTCTCGCCCTACTCACCTCTTCCTCTTCGCCAACTCGGGGGTAGGGCTGCGTCCTTCTCTCTATGAGAAAGGGCTTAAAAAGCAGGTTGCCCATCTCAGAACTTGGACTCTTTCCAGCCAGACCCTTTTTGTTGGGTGGTCGGGGGCTGTCTTGTTCACTGGGGAGGATTAGCAGCACCCCGACTTCCAAACACTGATGCTTAGGGGCACCCCGTCCCACCACCTCTTCCATGGTAGGGGCGAAACTGTCTCCAGCTTGGCTGAATGTTCCTAAGGACCTCCCGCACCCCCCAAGCCCACCTCCCCCCTGAGACCCCTCTTTGTATTTCCCTCATTAAGGCTTTCCAAAGGGTGCCTTCTCCAGGAAGCCTGCCCAGCTACCTCCCCCAGGAAGCCTGCCTGCCACCTTCTCCAGGAAACCTGCCCTGCCCTCTGGCACCAGGAGCTAGAAAAGAAGCAGCGAGAGGAAGATGCGAGTGAGGAATCTGCCCTGGTTGGGCAGTTGGCATGGGAGCAAGAACTGGAGAGGGGACACATCTGGGTGGGCAATCGAGGCTTCCTTAGGAGGACAAGGTGGTGCTGATGGCGGTGCTGGTGTGTATGGGGTCAGGGGGCATGCAGGAGTAAGGTCAGGAGAGGGAGCTAGAGGCAGGGGTACTGGGCAGGGTGCGAGGGGCTGGCCTCACACCAGAGGGCACTTCCATATTACACAAATGCCCGAGGGCCGTGAAGTGGGTGCGCCCATGGGGTTGAGCTGGACTCCCCTGGTCCCCATCTCTATGCCCCGACTGCTCATCCGGCAAAGGTGATGATGTTGGGAGCCCCACCTGGCTGGGAGGGCGACGCTGGGAGTCCACAGAGCCCCAAGAACCACACTAGGAATGGGGGCAGTGGGGGAGGGTCTCTCAGTGATCACAGAGACTGTGGGAGATTCCTTGTCCCCAAGGTGGGGCTATGGTGGGTGGGAGAGATTGCACCTCAATAAAGTTTTTGCTCGATTTGCTCGAGTGGGCCCAGTAACGTCTCCATTGGAGACTTTGTTGTTACTGTGTCTGGCATATCGAATACTCTCGGTAGCTTGCCGGGCTCTCCGAGAGGGGCGGAGGAATCGAACTTGGGTCGGCCATGTTGGCTGCGTGCAAGGCAAACGCCCTACCCGCTGAGTTATCTCTGAAAAACCAATCTGCTCTTTGACCCTTTGTGTATAGACTTTACATGTGCTATCTGAAACAGAGATGTGATGGCTGCGCTCTAGCTGCCTTTCTGCACCATGAGGAGGGGGCCCCCCCCACCCCCACCCCCATCCCCCCACCCTCTCCACCTCTCCAGATACCAGAGAGTGACATGCAACCAAGCTGAGTCCTCAAGGGCCTCAGGGCCTTGCCTCCATGCTCCTCACAGGAGCCTTTCTGGCAGAATGAGCTGGACAGATGTAGGAGGGTCAAGCAAAGACTGAGCCCGAGGCTCTGACTCCTTCATTCTCTGCTAGGGAGGGAGGCAGGGAATAGTTAGGTGCATTATCTTTGGTTACAAATTAACCAAATGTTTGCAAGGGGGTTGGGCCACTCCCTACAGTGCTCCAGGATATTCCTGGCTCTGTGCTCAGGGGTCACTCTTGACAATGCTCAGGGGACCAGATGGGGTGTTGGGAACCAACTGTGCTATGGGAACAGCTTAGATTTCACAGCTCTAGATTCTTTTGTGAAATGGAAAACTAGCTGTTGTTTCATTCAAACCACTTCTCAGTGGGGTTTCTGTTTGCTGCTGACTTGAGCCTTGGTGGATGGTCCTTGGCTTCCCGCCTCCCAGAGAGCAAGGTCTGCTTTGGGCCTCCCTGTGCCCCGTGGCCTTTTGGAGTCTTTTGTGGAGATAACAGGCGCTCCCTGCACTGCTTACTCATGCAACCAAACAACCAAGGAGTGAATGTTCGGGGAAGAAGCACTTGGGGAACGAGATGCGCTTTGCATGAAGCTTTATCACTGGCTCTCTCCTGGTTAAAGCAGAACAGCTCGGGAGAAAGAAAGGGAGAGAGAGAGAGAGGAACGGGCGAGCCTCCGTCTCCTACCGACCAGCCGTGGATGATCATCACCAAGGGGCGTGAGGTGTTGAAGCCACACTGGCGCAGTGTGTCCGGGGCATGGAGCCGGATCTGACAGCCTGCCTCCTCCTCCCCCGGGAAGAGCAGGAATCGAGTCGTCGTCTCCCGCAGCACTGTCTTGGCCTTGACAGCTGCAGGCCGTCTTCCCGGTGGCTCTGGAATAGACAGTTGGGGAGGGTGCTTAGCTCGGTGTCTAGCCCTGGGATAGCCCAGGGTGTTCCGAGAGCACTGGGCAGGGTCATGCTGAGATGTCAAAGTCAGAGCTTTGCCCCCGCAACCCTCACAGGAGCAATTCTGGCAGAAGGAGCTGGAGATGATGGATGGACATAGGAAGGAGACTGGACGGACGGATTCTGGCTGAGACTGGCCCTGAGTCTTTGACTCCTTCACTCTCTTCCTTCTCAGCTCAGGGGGCAGGGGTCAGCTGGGTGTTTTCGTTTAATTTTGGCTACTGATTAAGGATATTTGGAAGAGGGGTTGGCCCTCACCTGCAGTACTCCGGAGCTACTCCTGGCTCTATGCTCAGGGCTCTCTCCTGATAATACTCAGGGGACTATCTGGGGTGTTGAAGATCAAACACCCAAGCAATGGCCCCTGTGCTATCTCTCTGCCTAAGTCTCTTCGGATCTATAGACACACCTTGATGTGCAGCCTTGCACAAACCAGGGAGGGTTAGGGTGGGGATCAACATGGAGGGAGTGAGGGGGCCTAGGGTGCACAGGGGTTCAGGGACGGGTCCCCAGGGGGGCAGGTGCTGACTCTGACCCTGAAGGATGAAAGAGTTGGTGTGTGCATGTGTGTGAGTATACATGTATATGTGAGTGTGTGGATGAACGAGTGTCAGAGTGCATGCATTGTGTAAGGGGATGTATCAGTGCGTATGTAGGAGTGTGTTTACATGTATGTGAATATGAGTATGTGTGTGTACGTGTGAGTATATGTTTACATGTGTGACTGTGTGTAAGTATGTGTGAGAGGGTGTGTGTGTCTGATGAGTATGTGTATATGTATGTGAGTGTGTATATGTGTGTGAGGTGAGTATGTGTGTACATGGATATAAGTAGGTGAGCACGTGTGAGTGTAGATGTGTGATGAGTATTCATGTGTGTACTTGTGTGTTTGTGTGTATGTGATGAGTATGTGTGTATTGCATGTGTGCGCGCTTGCATGTGCATGTGTACTTGTGTTGGGAGGATGGGGGTGGGGGGTCAGAGCTCACTGAGTTCAGGCACAGGACAGGGCTCAGAGACTGGGATAGTTAAGCACTAGGATAGCCCAGAGGGCCTGGAGATCAGAGGGGACCCGGGGAGTCTTCCCCAGACTGCAGCCTGGTGGAACCTGGGTAAAAATGATCTTTACTATTCCTCTTCTGGTTCTTCTTCCTGGATGTCTTCTGGCTTGTCTCTGTGGGGAACTCTCTGACCCTGAGCCACTGTGGTGGCACATGGGGAGTCGCCACATCTGCGACATTCCAGGCTCTGGTCAGGGTCAGCGGACTGAAGAGGTGCCTCTCTTGTAGGCCTGCCCTCAGGGCCAGAACGGGGCAGAAGGTGCCAACCCAGAGCCCTCCCCCACTCTGCCGCAGCTGCTCTGCTGAGGCTGAATGCCCTGGAGGGGAGTCCCCACTGCACCCAAGATGGTTTGCATTGCTCAGGCGGCCTGGGGACCCCTGCAGCCCACCTGCTGAGTGTCCCAATCTTTTGAAGCACAAAGTCATTCTGGCGTCTCTCAAATAACAAGTTTTGGGTGTTTTTGGTTTCAGGGAACAAAGATGATGAACCCGTGAAGTACAAGGAGAGGTATTAATAAAACCAATTTTCCTACCCAAAGGTTATTAATTCGAAAGGTTATTAATTCTCAGAAAAGGGCAATGATTTTTTCACTATAAATGACAGATGGAATGCTTTGTATTTTATTAAAAGAACATGTGCAAGAGAATCTGAATAGCTTCTCTGTTATTAAAGAAAAATCCCACTGCCCAGTTTGGCCACCCTGAGCTTAAAGTCCCCCTTAATGTAGACATGGTGGGGCCTGGAGGGGAGTCCCCACTGCACCCAAGATTGTTTGCATTGCTCTGCTATGGGTCTGAGTGAGAAACTGAGTCCTGTGCACAGGCCGTGGGACCTGGAGTTGGGGCATGTGCTGCTTCCTCCACCAAACTGAACCATGAGCATAGAGCAGAGTGGTGCCCAATATGTGCTCTGGGAAAGACCCATGTGGTCTTCCATGGGTTGAGGTCTAGGTCAAGGGATAGCATTTGATATCAGCCACTGTGCACAAGAGGATAAATGTAACTAATTTTCTTTTCTTCAGGGACAAATTGCTACAGGGCTGTAGACATGTGTGCTGAGAGCATCAGGTGAGCTAAAATAACTAGGAACCCAACCCTCTCCTCCCTTGCTTTGGGGCTTAGAGAAAGTGGCGTTTGTCAGGAACTCAGAAGAACACCTGGCACCCATGAGCTTCTCCACTAGAGTGAGTGTCATTAGAGAAAGTGGGGGTTGCACACCCCGCATTTTGTGTCTGTCATCTGTGAAATCCTGTTTATTCTGGGGAAATTCATCGCAGTTGCCTTCACAGGACCAATTTTGTCTTTTGTGCCTTGACTCCAGAGTTCCTGGGAGAGCAGGTGCTGACTCGGGGCCAGGGGCTGCAAGTCTATTCAGATAAGTCCTCTGGGAAAGAGCTATTATCTGGAGAAGGTCACAAACCACATAACAGGACCCACCTCTCCTTTCCTCCTTGGGGCTTGGCTTGCTTGAGCATCTGTATGAATGTATATATATATATCCTTCCTTCCTTCCTTCCTTCCTTCCTTCCTTCCTTCCTTCCTTCCTTTCTTCCATCTTCCCCTCCTCTTTCAATTAAAATCAATATAGAATCTGGCTGCTGTAGGTAGAGGAGTGCCCAGTTCACCCTAGGTGGAGGTTTTGGCGATGCTATCAAGATAAGATGAGTTATCAGTTGAGTTTAGAAGGATGGTGTGTGTGTGTGTGTGTGTGTGTGTATGTGTGCGTATGTGTGTGCATGGACACACAATTGTGTGGTGCTAGGGCTTGAATTTAGGGCCTCATAATGCAAGGCAAGTGCTCTATCATTGAGTTATATCACTGGCCAGGATGAGTCTCTCAAAGGTCAGATCTAAAAGGAATTGTTGAAAATGAGGCTCTGGTGGCTAAGAAACATCTGGAGAAGGGCACAGGCTGGGAGGGTTACTCTGGGGCCAAGGGCAGAATTCTCTGGGGGCAACTCCAGGAGATAGATAAAGCATCAGGATGGGATGGTTTAGCAGGACAGTGGACTTTAGCTCTCTGAAACCCATGGATGAAACTGGGCTGAAGAGGAAAGAGGAGAGAACTAGAAAGTCACCAAGCTTAAAAGGTTAATGGCCTAAAATTTAGCTCACGAGCTGATCATCTGAGTTGCTGATGGACCTCAGTCCTTGTTCTCTGCTTTCCACGGGCTGGGTCAGGAGACAAACAGGAGGCTTTCAGAAACCCTGTCTGGGCTCTGGAGTTGGAGGGTTCCCTCAAGGCAACTCTAAGGAAGGTCACGGGCAAAGAGTGACCTCTGTCTTGAAGCAGGGGTGGCTGGGGTGGCTGCGGGGGGGAGCTTGGCTGGGTACAGTGGAAGCAGCAGCAGCCTCGGAATGAATCCCGAGACTCTCACTTGTGTCTGGCAACTGCCTGAGATGGAGGAGGGTAGGACCACTCCTGGTCATGATGGGTGGAAGGAACAGGGGCTCAGAAGCAAGAGCGCCAGAGCCCGTATGGGGTTTCGTGAGGAATACAGGCCGCCAGAGACTCCCAGGCTGCCCACGGCTCCCAGGATGCAACTTGGCACCCACACCCTCCCTTCGCCAGACCCCCCGGCCCCAGCCCTGCACACACCCAGGTCTGCCCTGCAGTTGCCTACACCCTTCCCTCTAACCGGCTCTTTCTCCCCGGTCCCAGCCCTAGACACGACCAGCTCTTGACTAGGCAACTCGACTTGCATATCCTTTGGGCATTGCAAAGACAGTGAGGGCAAATGGGATGGATATTTTCCCTCCCAACCTATTCTTTGTTGATTCCTTCATTTCTGAACACAACAACTCTTTACACTGTCATGTAGGGTCATGGCTTAGGTTAGCATTTTCCTTTTTCTTCCCAAAAAGGAAAAGAAGAAAAAAGAAATAATTTCCTGTTTTGTTTTTTGCTTTTTGGGTTATACCCAGCAATGCACAGGGGTTACTCCTGGCTCATGCACTCAGGAATTACTCCTGGCAGTTCTCAGAGGACCATATGGCTCAGAATCGAACCTGGATCGGCCTTGTGCAAGGCAAACGCCATACCTGCTCCAGCCCCCAACAGGGAATTCTTAACTCATATATCTTTCTACTTGTGGAATCAAAACCTGCTCATTGTTCATAATCAGTCTGAAAACTGCTGAAAAGAGTCAAGACTTAAACTGCTTAGGACTCGGCCTTCCCTAGGAATGTTTGGAATATTTCCTTCCAATCTTTCATATGGCGATATTGACTCCATAGATACTTATGTGGATCACCTGCAATTAAGAGCATAATATGTAAATGGATCTTTGATGGGGACTTTGGTACATCCTATTCATGTTCACAGGGAGCACTGTTAGGGTTCTAAATGTATAGTAGATCAGAAATAAATTGCCATAAAACTGCCACTGCAGCCCAGGGTCTGTGTTAGTGTCTCCAGGCATGGCATACTGGGCTGGGGGATGGCCCTCTGGGAGAGTGAGGGGAGCAGCTGGAGAGCTCCCTCCTAGTTCCTTGACCTTCTCCTGGAGCTCTGCTGGCTTAGCAAGAAGTTCTTTTTATCTGCTGTGAGTGGGCTCCTCTGGTTTCTCTGTGGTTCCCCCTCACATAATAGCTCACCCAGAGCTTCCGGGGCACATGCCGGCTACTGGGTGAAAGACACGACTGGAATAGCTGCCTGGAGAGGGCTGATCAAGTCCTCTGGTGGGCTGTTCACATGTGGTCACAGTCACACAGGCCTTTTTTTTAGATTCTCTTTTCCTCTCTGTTGTTCACTGTTATAGAGAAATGTTCTAAACAGCTATATAGGTGGTTCAAAATGGTGAACCTCTTTACCTAGCATGCTAATTTTATTAATACATTAAAAATTCTTCCAAAGCAGTCTTT